CCTGCTGCACAGCAAAGGGCTTCAGTTACAAATATACAGATCCTTTTTCATATTCTTTTCCGTTATGCTTTATCGCAGGATATTTGAATACATCTCCCTGTGTTGTACAGGAGGACCTTGTTTATCCATTCTATATATAACAGTCTGCAACTACTAGCCCCAAACTCCCAATCCATCCCTCCCTGACCCCCCTCCCCCTTGGCAGCCAGAAGTCTGTTCTCTATGAGACCTCTGGTCTTTGCATCTAACCTCGACTTTGACACACCCAGGTTCATGACTCAGTCTACCAAGGAAGCCTACGTGATCTCTCTGTACATTAACAACCCGTTACTAATCGGCGGCAGGAAGTTTGACCTGCGCTTGTATGTTCTGGTGTCTACGTACCGCCCACTGCGCTGCTACATGTAAGAGCTGGAGTTTTGTTTCCATTCTTTAGACTGAGCTTTGGGAATTCCCTGGTGGTCCAGTGGTTAGGACTTGGCTTCCACTGCGGGGGGGCCCGGGTTCGATTACTGGTTGGGGAGCTAAGATTCCCGCATGATGCGCGCTGTGGCAAAAAAAAAAAAAAAAAAAAAGGCGGTGCTTTGACACAATACTTCCTACTCCTCAGAGACCTTGCAAGGGTTGGTTGAACTCCCTGTACGAGTAGTGCCTGGCTTGTGATCCACGTTGAGTAAGGCAGTAACTTTGACATGAATGTGAATCTTTAAAACAAAAAGCAACTCTTTTACCCTTACAAAGATACTCAGAGAAAGAAGCCAGACACAGAAGGCCACATGTTGTACAATTCCGTTTATATGACGCACCCAGAAGAGGCAAAACTGTAGAAACAGAAAGTAGATTAGTGTTTGCCCAACACCAGGGTTGGGAAGTGACTACTGATGGTCGCAGGGTTTCTTTCTGAGGTGATGCAGATGTAAAATTGATTGTGGTGATGGTTGCATGACTCTGAATAAACCAAAAAACGTTGAGTTGTACACTTTATGGGGATGAGTTATATGGCACATAAATTATATCTTAATAAAGCTATTATATAAAAAGAACCATAAAAAATAACACAGCAGCTGTTTAAAAAGTTTAAAACAAAAAGCAGCTCTTTTAAGAGAAAAAAAAGTGTTATATTTTGTTTACGCTTGTCCTCAGAGTATTGAATTAATCTGAATTCCCACTTAGGTATAAACTTGGATTTTGCCGCTTTTGCACAGTAAAATACACCCCGAGTACCAGTGAGCTGGACAACATGTTTGTTCATCTCACCAACGTTGCCATTCAGAAACACGGGGTAAGTGTTTCTTTTCCCTTGAGCTTAAGGAAATGGAATGATTTTATGGGTTTCTTTGTTTTTCTATTTGCAGGAGGGGTTGGGTGGGTACCGGAGTTGAATTTAAGATGCCCTGGCACTGATGAGGATTTTGTGGGTTTCTTCATTTTTCTATTTGCAGGAAAGGGTGGGTGGGTATAAGAGTTGTATTTAAGATGCTCTGGCACTGATTGGGAGGGGGAACCCCAAATATCCAGTGTGCTTGTCCCACTGGGGGTGGGGCATTTGGAGAAAGTCCCATATTCAAGTAGTTCTGGGACCTTGGGCAACTTAATTGACTCTTGGAGCCTGGGTCTCTCGAGTTGTAAAAGGAGATAATATTATTACCTTGTGGGGCTTGTGGGAGGATTATATGAGAGGACTTGTGCTTGGTCATTCAGTTAAAGACCAGATACTGAGCACCTGTCTGGGTTGGTCCCATGATGAGGGCTACAATTATGGGCAAAAACTTCCTTCACCCCTACTCTTCCTTCACCCCTACTCTCACGGAGCCCAGAGCCTGTCGGGGGAAGGCAGTCATCAAATAATCACACTCCAACTGAGATGCGCGTTCTGCAGGTAGAGATGCAGGCCTGGAGGAGCTTGGAATGAAGGAGCCTGTGGTCCAGGTGGTCGGAGGCCACCGCGCACAAGTTGCCTTGAGCAGAGAGCTGAAGTCTGAGCGGGGGTTCCCTGGGTGGAGAAGTGGAAAGAGCATTCTAGCAGAGGGCACAGCACGTGCCAAGGCCCTGTGGCAGGAAGGAGCATCGCAGGAGCTGAAAGGAGTCGGGGCAGCTGGAGCCCCCGAGCGAGGCGGGTAGAGTGAGAGGGCCCTGTAGAGGCCAGTGGAGGCCGCGACACAGGTTCTGTGCAGGCTTTGGGGCTATAATCCAGTCCTGGCGAACAAGGCCTGAAGGTCTCATTTCTATAGGAAAGACTCTTCTATTTGGGTCTTGCTTGAATGGAAGCCTGAATACCCTAGTCTTTTTATCATTTGAATAGAAAGAGGGTAAATATTGATAGAAAACAAGCTTTTCTGAGTAACCTACTGAAGGGTTTGGTCAGACCAGCTTGGGCCCAATCCCGTGCCCATCACTTAACCTCTGGGTGACTTGGGCAAGTCAGCCAGCCTCCCTCTTGAACAGGAGCCCTGGCTTTTACCTTCCTGGTCGTGGCAACTGGCTTCCCTGTGGGGCTGACTCCAGTTCACCTGCCCATCAGGTTTTCCTGAGAGCAAACTGAGAGAGCGTTGTCGTTACAGTGTTCACAGTTAGTGGAGAAGGGGTGACTCGGCCAAGGCCTTACTCATAAGAATTTGGGAAAATGGTCTTTCAGGTGACACAGCACAGAACTTAACAGCCATTTGGGGACGCCACACCCTTCATAACCAAGTAGCACATTTCGTGAAGTCTGGGCCGGGGTGGAAAATGACAGTGACCGACCTCGAGTCCACTTGGTGTCCTGAGGACAGTGCATGACGTGTTGGCCTGCTAAGCCGCCTCATCCTGGGGGGGCCAGACTGAAATTGGGAGGGTCCCATTTGATGAGCCTTCTCAGGACATCAAACACGAGGTCACTATTTCCATCAATAAGGAAAAGAAACCATTTTAAAAAGACAGAAGGGGAGAGCTGAGACTGTCTTCAGCCCGGCATCTACGTGCACTGGAAGCGGCAGTGCTCTCCAGATTCTTCCCATTTCTAAATGCTTCGCTTTTTAATGTAAGAAACAGGTCGCTCCGAGAAACGTCCGTTTCACCCTTGAATGAAAGCTTCACATGGCTCTAATTTAGCATTGCGTAGAGAATAGATGTTATATTGAACACAGAAATGCTGTGGGCCGGTGGATCTGCTTGTCCACTGAGGGCCCCTGGGGGCAGAGCACCACCCCGCACTCTGGGGCAGGATGATGAGACACATCCCTGCCCTCAGGAAGCTCAGAGTCCAGCCAGAGGGGCAGATTGCAAAGGACTGAGTGTAAGGAAAGGTCAGGAGACCTCAGTGCTGCCTTGAGAGTGCAGGAGTGGGGTTTGGGGCCTGCCAGGAGGCTGGCTTAACCATGACTGCTGGCGGGTTTCCCAGGGTGCAGGGTGGGTCCTGAAATGCACAGTGTTTGCAAGTTGATAGGAGAAAAATGTTCTGAGGCAACTCTGATAAAATAACTTTCCTACGGCCAAAAAGCAGGCACTTTTTGTATCATTACTTTGTATCTATACTTTTTTTTTTTTTTGCGGTACGCGGGCCTCTCACTGTTGTGGCCTCTCCCGTTGCGGAGCACAGGCTCCAGACGCGCAGGCTCAGCGGCCATGGCTCACGGGCCCAGCCGCTCCGCGGCGTGTGGGATCTTCCCGGACCGGGGCACGAACCCGTGTCCCCTGCATCGGCAGGCAGACTCTCAACCACTGCGCCACCAGGGAAGCCCTGTATCTATACTTTTTATATCTATGCACGTGTAAGACAGTGTTTTGCATAAAGTGTATACTTTATGCCTCTGGAACTTTTTTTTTTTAAGTAAACAAATTTTTCTTGATAGTAGAGAATCTGTATATAGGAAAAGAAAAGGTATTGCTGGACAGTTAGCCTAGTTTTCCTATAATTTATTTTAGGGCTACAGTCCTTTTTTTAGGGATACAAACACCAAGTAATATATTTGAGAGCCTGTTTGAGGTGAACAAGCTTGGGCACCTCATCTTTTGAGGCATTTTAGTAGGAACTGACATGTAAAAGGAATTTGTCTCTGACCTTGAAAAGATGTTTTTAAAAATATGGATAGGGCTTCCCTGGTGGCGCAGTGGTTGAGGGTCCGCCGGCCGATGCAGGGGACACGGGTTCGTGCCCCGGTCCGGGAGGATCCCACATGCCGCGGAGCGGCTGGGCCTGTGAGCCGTGGCCGCTGGGCCTGCGCGTCCGGAGCCTGTGCTCCGCAACGGGAGAGGCCACAACAGTGAGAGGCCCGCGTACCGCAAAAAAAAAAAAAAAATATGGATAATTCTTTGCTTTTATATGTAAACAGAGTCTGCTTTGAGTTTGTTCCTTATCAGGCTGATTTTGTTTTAGTTCACAGTTACCAACTTTATACTTAGAAAGTGAAATCTCCATCTCATAACTTTCCAATATACTTCAGTATTTTCTAGCTTTTTGCCTCCAAAGAGGCAGCGTGTGGAGAACTAATGTTCAGGGTCAGAGCAGTAGAAGGAGCACTGAACTGGCAGGAAAACCCGGGCTAAGGTCCCAGCTCTGTCACAGCCAGGATGAAAGCCTGGGCAAGTAACGGGGCCTCTCTGAGCCGGAGTCTCTCAGACAGCTGGGACACTGTGAGGGAGGTTCATGTGTGGGTCTCTTAAACCATCGTGCCCGGGGCACGGTGTGTCCCAGGTTGGCTTCTCCAGGAAACAGAGGCAGAGACGAGCGTGCAAGAGGTTTACTGGGGCACCATGTCAGGGGCAACACCAGGAGTTGGGGGGAGCCGGATCGGGCAGAGGGGGGTCCAGTGGGGACACAGCTGCAGCAGGGGCCCCAGCCAACCTCAGCGCGCTCTGCAGCTGGGTGTCCCTGAAGAGTTGTCCCAGACGGAGACAGGGGCCAATACCCAGGCACCAACCCGGCACTGGCTGTGGGCTGCCTGAGGAGGGGTTGGACTAGGCAGGTCCTCTTAACCAAGGGCAGCTCCCTGAAAGGGTCTCTGCTGCAAGAAGGAGCGCCTTGATCTTGAAGGGGTGTCTGGGTGGCACTCCAGCCACAGCATGCACTGTAAGGGATAAAGCATTGATTATGAGAATACTACAGAGTTGAGTATAGTTGGCCTTCCATATCCCAGGGCTCCACATCTGTGGGTTCAGCCAGCCATGGGTTGAAAATATGCGAAAAGGGACTTCCCTGGCGGTCCAGTGGTTAAGGCTACCTGCTTCCTCCGCAGGGGGCGTGGCTTCCATCCCTGGTTGGGGAACTAAGATCCTGCCAGCTGCGCGAAGCAGCCAAACAAAGAGAATTCAGAAAAAAGAAAAATTCCAGAAATTTCCAAAACAGCAAAACTTGAATTTGCTGCTCAGTGGCAACTATTTTTGTAGCATTTATGTTGTGTTTACACCAATTTACATAGCATTTACATCACATTAGGTATTATAAGGAATCTAGAGATGATTTAAAGTACACAGGAGATAGGGAGGATGTGTGTAGGTTACAGGCAAATACAATGTCATTTTATATAAGGGACTTAGGCGTCCAAGGATTTTGGCATCCAAGGGGGGTCCTGGAACCACTCCCCTGTGGATACCGAGGGACAACTGTATTTTAAAAAATCGCATGTGTAGGAGGCCCAGAACCCCAGGGGGCAGGGCCCATCTGCTTTGTTCCCGGGTGCCCCCCCCACCCCCACCCCACCCCCCCGCACACCAAGGGGCACCAGGAAATGCTCAAGGGTGAGAGCAAGCGCTGGGCTCCTCTGGGAGCATTGCCTGGGGCCCCACCCCCTTTTCTGTGGCCAGGAGGATTACAACCACATCCATGGGGGCAAGTGGACGGTACACAACCTGCGGCTCTACCTGGAGAGCACCCGAGGCAAGGAGGTGACCAGCAGGCTGTTCGACGAGATCCACTGGATCATTGTGCAGTCCCTGAAGGCCGTGGCGGTGAGTCCCAGGAGTGTTGGGGGGCGGGGCGGGGAGCCCTGGGAGCAGAGAGAGCGAAGGAGACCACGCAAGCCTAGCAAGAGTTTGGGATTTGGGGGTGCAGGTGGTTCTTTTGTTAAAAATAGCTGTTTTTATGGTCTCAACTCCTACACGTCTGCCAGAGGCCAGGGTGGTCTCGGGAAGGGAGAGGGGCTGGCTCCTGGCTTGCGTTGCTGCAGCCATGGCCCTGGAACCTCTACAGAAGGGCAGGGACCTCGTGACGTCATCGTCGGCTCTTCTGTGCCCACTGAGTCGAGAATGAGTGTTTTGTCATAAGCTGATGCTTTGGAGATGGACTTTTCAGCAGCCTCCCTATTTTTAGGCTTCCTGCTTTGCTATTTCATAGACATTTAGGGCTGGAGAGAGCCTCTCTTTTTTTTTTACTCAAGTCTCATATCTGTTGGCTGGTTTGAAGTTTTTGTGTTTCGTTTCACCGTTCTAAAGCAGGTGTGCATCTATTTTCAAAGGAAAAGAAAAGAATAAACCCTGGAGCACCAGCATGCAGACCACTATTTCTGGTGCAGATACCGGTGGGCAGACTGGAGTAGTGCCCACACACTGGAGTTGAGGGGCTGTGAAAAGAGCTGCGCTTGCTGGAGTCGGAAACGTGGGGAGATTGCTGTTCTGGAGAAAGTGTGACATGGGTTTGGCAGCGAGGTGGATGTGTGTGAAAATATTTATGTGAAACCTTCTCAGTGGAAGATTAAGGCTCTCTCTCCCCGCCTTTTTTTTCCCCCCTTTGGCCGCGCCGTGCGGCTTGGTGGGATCTTACTTCCCCGACCAGGGATTGACCTGGGCCACGGCAGTTCCTAACCACTGGACCGCTGGGGAATTTGCTCTCCCATTTTTATCTTTGAAAATGCCAACTTATACTAATTCCCTTGTACGTGAAAAGCTTTGTTGAAACAACTGTGTAAAGAAAATTATGGTCAGGAAAGGTGACCCTTCAGTGGACACCTTGGCTTTGCTGTGCCTTGAATCGAGCTCTTCCTGTGTCACCAAGTGCTGATGAGCCCTGCCTGTGCCTTCAGTCTGCATCTCGGGCCCACAGGGAGGACTCGACGGGGAAAAGCTCAGGGTCTAGTTAGTCTAGTTAGCTGTTGGAGAGAGGCGTCTCAGGGGCCACGTTCCACGTCTCTTACCCCACGGAAGCCATGCCTTGAACCTCGACACTTGGGTGGGGGTCACGGTGTGGATGTGTGGGGAGTCCTGGGCTCAGATTTCAAGCCGAAGCCACCATGTGCCTCCTGGCGACGTGGCACAAGTGCCTGCCCTCCGTGGGCCTCGGGGGTGTCCTCTGTGAAATTGGGATCACGACCCTGATGTCTCAGGCTGGTTGTGTGAACACGCTCCGCGGAGGCTAACTTACGGGCTGGGAAGGTAAATGGTAAATGGCAGCGGCTGTAACACAGGCGATGTGGGAGCCTTAGTGCCTGATTAAACCAGTGCCTCCGCTCCCGTCCTGGCCTGATTGGCAGAACGCTGAGAAACAGTTGGCTGTTTAATCAAGAAAACCTGTGTCCTGGCCACGGATATGCAGCCTGTCTCGAGGCTCGGTCCTCCAGGCGCCTCTGAGCATCTTCTCCTGGGCCTCAGCCTCCTGAGCTGAGAAGCTGTTGGATTTCTAAGGCTCTGAGGCTTTGGGGAGCAGGGATTCATTTTTTCAGTTTTTATTAATTTAGCAAATATTCGGTCACCTTGTTTTTACCAGGTTGTTGCCTTCGGGGAATCTAGGGGAGAGGCAGGCAGGGAAACAGGAGGCTGTGGTAACTCGCGAGGAGGGCCTGGTGCAGGGTGTGGACCACGTGGGGGGCCCACGGAGAAGCCGAGAGGCAGAGCTTGGGAGCAGAATGCTCAGAGGGCCAGAAACAGCAGGGCTGGGGGATGACAGAGGGTGAGTGACTGTCCTCTGTTCCCTCTGTGCTGCAGAGGCTTTTGGGGACAGTTGTGTGTGCGTTGGCCGGTTTAGGACACCAGGCTTTCAGTGGAAATGCAACAATTCCGCTAAATTTCCATGTGATGAAACAGCCCCCCAGCCTGGTTTTCCTCCAGTGAGTGGGGCTGCATTGGGCTCTCTCCCCCTTAGAGGTTTCCTGTTCTAAATACAGTGTTGTAGGGAGAGTCCAGGCATCCACTAACATATGAATAGGCCTCACCATCCTCACGGTTGCATCTGTGTGCTCCCCTCACTGTGGGGTGCATGAGAGTCCCCGGGGAGCGCGTAGCACTGCTGCTGGCTGGGCCTCTCTTGGAGGGTTTAATACAGGCAGCTTGGGCAGCCTGGAAATCTGTGTTGTAAACAAGCCGCTGGTGGGTTTTTTATGCACTTGGAGAACAATTTTTGAAATGGAATTAAAAACTGAGAAGAAGGGACTTCCCTGGTGGCACAGTGGTTAAGAATCCACCTGCCAATGCAGGGGACACGGGTTCGAGCCCTGGTCCGGGAAGATCCGACATGCCACGGAGCAACTAAGGCCGTGCGCTACAACTACTGAGCCTGCACTCTAGAGCCCGCAAGCCACAACTACTGAGCCCACATGCTGCAACTACTGAAGCCTGTGCGCCTAGCGCCCACGCTCCGCAGCAAGGGAAGCCGCTGCAGTGAGAAGCCCATGCACTGCAACGAAGACCCCAAAATAAATAAATTAATTGAAGAAAAAAAACCTAAGAAAATCCAAAAAAAAAAAATTTTTTTTTTTTTTTTCGGCACGCGGGCCTCTCACTGCTGTGGCCTCTCCTGCTGCAGAGCACAGGCTCCGGATGCGCAGGCCCGGAGCGGCACGCGGGATCCCCCAGGACCAGGGCACGAACCCGCGCCCCCTGCACCGGCTGGCGGACCACCCCCAACCACTGTGCCACCAGGGAAGCCCAATCCAAAAATTTTAAGTAAATGGATTTGACTTTTGACTTTTGTCACAGAGAACAGAGGTTCGTACGCTGCATCCCGAGGGGTCTGTGAAGGGACTGACCGCCTGGTGGGCTCTGTGTGTGTGTGTGTGTGTGTGTGTGTGTGTGTGTGTGTAAGCCGCACAGGCCTGAACTTTGGGTGCCTGGGCTTGGAGCTGGACTTCTGTCCACTCTGAGGAAAGTCTTGTGCCGACGGAGACATTCATTGCTGGTCGTCAGGCCTCTGATGAATGAGACGTGGAGACGGTGATTGCTTCACGAACCCCCCTTTCCATCCCTGACCTTGCGGGACGAACACGGAGAGGAAGGGGGGAGGGGAGAGGGCAGAGATGGGGAGCCGCTGGTCACAGGAGTGAGCTGCTGGCATCACCACCGTGAGGAGGATCCTGCCTGCCGCTTTAACATCCCGCATCTCCATGATGTGGGTCTTGGCTGGGTCCCCCAGTTCTGGCTCTGTAACCTGCCGGTCCTCTCCCTGCAGCCAGTGATGAACAACGACAAACACTGCTTTGAGTGCTACGGCTATGACATCATCATCGACGACAAGCTGAAGCCCTGGCTGATCGAGGTACCCACGCGCTGCATGCCCGCATGCCTGGTCGCCCCATACCCTCCCGGTGCCTCTGCCTCTGCCTCGGGTTCCGCGGCCCCAGCCAGATGTTTCCCAGGCCACGGTGGGCGCGGTAGGACGGGAGCAGATGTCCAGGTCTGACGGTTTGCTGATGGTTGGGGAATACACTCTCCCGGTCTATCACGTCCGGCAAGCCCAACCCACAGAGCCCACGCCATCCTCCCCCTTCTGAATGGGTGCTTCCGGGTGAGTCCAGGTCCTGGGGCCCGGCCGTGTCGGACACTGTTCCCATTCAGGAAAGGAGCTCACAGACCCGGAAGCCCTTGGGAGGGCGTAGGGTTCTGTCTGGAAATAAGGAACGCTATCCTCTTGGGAGGAAGGCGTAGTTTGGAAGTGGACTCATATGCCCATTTCAAGGCGTAGACAGGATGTAGTGATGGCTGTTCTAGAAAGGGCAAGGTGCATACACCCTTTTCCTAATGACAGTGGCAGCGGGCACTGGCACACCCGTCTGAGGCCCTGACACGGAGCCCACCTTGCCGGGTGGTCCTGCTTTGCTCTGCTGCCAGGAAGAGGGGCTCAGGCCTCTGAGGGACGCAGGGCTGGACGGGCAGAAAGGGTGCAGGCTTCCACTCTGGTGACTCATCTCCCCGCTAGTGCCCCTGAGTGCCGTGTCCTCTCACCACACCCATGTGGGTGGGACGGCTCAGGCCCTTTAGCTCAGTCCTGTTTCCAGCCGAAGCTGAGTCACAAGAGCAAGTGGCAGTGAGTGGTCCCCTGTAGGGAAGTCAGTGGGGGCCCTGCAGGGAGCTGCCAGGAGAACCAGGTTACTGGAGGGCGAGCTGTGTGTGTGTGTGTGTGTGTGTGTGTGTGTGTGTGTAGATAAATGTGCATATAGATAGACAGATAGGTCAGTCCTTAGATAGCACATATTTATGCTTTTTTTTCCTCCATCTTAAACAGAGTAAATAACTTGAATGGAACTCAAGCTTTCCATGATGAACTAGGGTGTTAATTGTGAACATTACTTCTAAAATAATAACAGGTCTTAACTGTAGCATATTTGTAATAAGAATTAGAGTATTATACGATCAACCACAGTGGTAATTTCAGGGGCAACCGAGGTCCACCCTGCTGGCGGCAGAAAGACACAGTCTGACTACTGGGTGGGGAAGCCTAAACAAATTGCACATTTGCTGCCTCTTCTCTCTCACGGCCTGAGAAAACAGCCCCCACCAAAGTCATTACAGCTGTGCCTACAGTAAGGGTAAATAGGTACTGACTGAGGGCCCGTGGGACTCTCGGTGGAGTAAGTGGCCACGTTTTAACACGTGGATTCTGTGAGTTGGCTGACCTCCTCAGAGGCCTGGATGGGCTCCTCACCTGGTCAGAATGTTGCTTTGTTGGTGAGCTAGTACTTACTGTCTCAGCAGAATGGGTCCTTTTCCTTTTACTTCAACCCACGATGCTGCTTGGTCAGGGTCATTGGGTCACTGATTCCAGCAAAGCTCTGGGCAGCTTTTGGTGCTGAGGACAGAGCTCATCACACAGGTAGACGCTGAAATTACGTTTGTGATGGATGTTGACCTACGATTTTTGTTTGTGTGGTGACGGATTTGTAGCTTCTGTTCCTAATCCTGTCTTTAAATATCGTTTGTATTTCACCTAACAGCTAATGAAATAGATCACGAAATGCTCCCTGAAGGTGTTAGGTATGAACAGTGTGAATCACAACCTTATCTGCGTCGTTGCGCGGCCCTCGCTCCAGGCGAGGTCCAGCCAAAGGATGTGTTCTCTTTCCTCTCGTAGGTGAACGCGTCCCCATCCCTCACCTCCAGCACTGCCAACGACCGAATCCTTAAGTATAACCTGATTAATGACACCCTCAACATCGCCGTCCCTAACGGCGAAATTCCAGACTGTAAATGGAACAAGTCACCCCCAAAGGAAGTCCTTGGCAATTATGAAATTCTGTAAGTTTGTGGGTCTGTGCAGCTGGCCTCGTGTGTGTCAGATTGGGGGGTACCAGGGCCCACCTGGGATTTTCTAGGTATATGTGGACTCACCTTATAGGGTGGAGTATTTTGTTTTTTGGTTTCATGGGATAGATCTTGTAGCAGACAGGCGTTAGCGTGCTGAACCAGGCCTCGGTCTAGTCTTGTGCCTGAGAAACATTAACGAAGCATTGCCACGTTTGCTGCTGGGGCAGCAGGAGCTGGTCACCTGCCATGGAGCAGAGGCTGGCCACGCCCTGGCCCACCCCGAGAGCTGTGTGACACTGAGGAACTAATCGATCTCTTTGAGTCTCCGTGTGTACATCTTTTTAAATGAGGATAATACGATCTGTCTTACGGTGGTGAGAGGAAAAGAAATGTAGCATTTAAGGGCTTGACACACGTGTTGTCACATTTCATTTCTCCAGCAACTTTGTGAGGTGAGGGTTGTCAATGGCTCCATCTTACACATGTGGAAACAAAGGCTCAGAGGGGTTACGTGGCACGTTGGTAGTGACATAAAGCGGGGGAAAGTGAAAACCCATCAGGAGGGCAGTGGCCGAGCAAGTCCAATTCGTTCTCACCATAGAAGAGTGAGTGGACGTTAAAAGGACTGACCTGGGGCTGTGCCGGGGGCCCGGGAGGAAAGTGAGCTGCAGGAAAGGGTGCCTGATGTGATCCATGTGAAACGGGCAGTGGTCCCGGTGCCCCCTCCCTCGGTGTGATGGGCATTTCCACGTGTGGTGGCTGCTCTGAGAGTGGACGGGCCAGGAAGAGTGGAGGGACACGCATTAGGGTGTCAGCATGGACACCACTGCTGCAGGGGTGTGGGCCGGGGAAGGGGAGCCAGGAAGAGAGGGGAATAGCACCCAACCTGTAGGACTGAATGTTAGGATCACGTTACGTGATCCTGTAAAAGTAAACATGTGCGTTTAACTTAACATTTTTAAAAAATGAAGAAATGGTGAGTGAACTTTACACAGCGCACAGATCCCAGGCTCTTGGCTGGTAGCGCTGCTGCCACATGGACGTAAGTGTGCAGCCCCGGGAGGGTGGTTGGGAACCGAAAGGGTGACCAGTTGGCCAGTCGGTTGTGTCCTCCAGCGCATCTGCTGCGCAGGTGAGGTAGAGAGTAGGCAGAGGGTGGAAGTGCCCGGGGTGGGGTGCTCACCAGGTGCGGGAGAAGGGCAAGGGGGCATGAGGGTGTGAGCAGATGAGGACAGTGCGGGGGTGGGTAGGGGTCATGGGGTCAGGGCTGTAGGACAGTGAACTGGGAAGAGAAGGGGCAGAGGTCAGAGTGAGGCTGGCGGCCGAGGTTTTGCAGGGGCTGTGGTCACCAAACATGGCAAGGTCGGGTGCCCTGGGAACGGGGCTGAGCTGGGGTGGAGGACAAGGTCATCGGAGAGGGCAGTAGGTCAGGGAGTCGGGGTCCCATCTGTTTGGTCACTGTGGTCACCAGCAACAGTGAGCCGAGAGCCTGAATCTTAAGGAATTAGGGGCAGTGACACAGAGGATTAGAGGTGACCAACAAGGCCAGGTGAGGGGGGTGAATTCTGCTGACCTGGGAAGGAGGCTTGCGGTGGGAGCATCTCCTCCAGAGTGGGAGGGAAAACAGGCCCACTCCAGGGGCTGCAGGGGAAGCCAGGTTGCCGAGCAGGAAGGTGAAGGGGACCTTCCAGGATAAGGTGGAGGATGGGGGGTGCTGTGTCCATTGCTGACGATGGACAGAGCTCTCAGTGCGCAGAGGGAGGGAGAGTTTGCTGGTGGGGCCAGGATGGGGCCTGTCCAGAGCCTCGGGGGTTAGCATTGTGGGCGGTGCAGGGTGACACGCGGGTGACGGACGTCAGACTGTGATGGAGGGCCTCGTGGGCCCAGTCCTGAGACAGATGGGGGGCTGTGTGGGGAAGGAGTCTGGCCAGGGTCTGGTGGATCCGCCTTGGTCCAGCTGAGGGTGGTGGGGAGGCGGGCTGTGAGGGCCCTGTGGGACTCTCTGCCCCCATCAACCCATTGCCTCCTTGAGGGAGTGGGCAGACGCTGCATTTCCAGTTGAAGATGCAGTGGTCCGAAGCCTCAGTGCTTTTACTTGGAGAGACAGAAAGGTGGGCCGCCCTCAATCAGTTCAGCCACCCTCTCCCCAGATGAGGTGATAAGGAAAGCTCCAGCGCAGGGCCGACAGTTCTGAATCCTTCCATTCAGGACCTGCTCCCGGTGCTTCAGACGACCTGTCAGAGTCCCGGGTGGGCTTACAGCCCTGGGGCCGCGTGGGTTGGGCCCTGACATCACAGGCACCGCCCTGTCCTCCTGCCGTGCCAGCCTCTCTGCATTCCGCTGCGTGCTCCCAAGTGCCCTTCAGAGCGTCCCAGCCAGGGTGCCGGCGCCCCTGGTGTGGCACCCAGAAACAGGCGCTATTGCCGCTGCCCCAGCTCACCGTCCTGGCCTTGGGGCCACAGGGCCTGGCACTTTGCATCTGCTCCCTCCGGGGCTCCGTTCTACTTTTACAGCCTTTCAAAAAAGAAACGCTCTGAACCCTGACAGTGAGCGGATTCTGCCTGTCGAAAGGCCAGGAGAGCAGCCCACCAGCACAGGAGGGGCATGAGAAGAGCCATCCGGTCTCTGACTCTGCTCCACGCCCGGTCTGTCCGTGGGCACACCATCCCTGGGAGCAGCCCGTCCCGGATGCCAGCTGCTTGCCAAACGCTCATTTCAGTTCGTTTTGTTGTTAAGCTGCACAAATACCCAGTGAAACTGGGAGCCCACCTGTGGGTCTCCCCTCTGTTTATTCAGCAGATTCTTATTGCACACCACCCCACGAGTGAGATGCTGGGGAGGACCGTGAAGCAGATGGGGGGGTGGGGAGGGGTCACTCCAGCCCTTTGGTCGGTACTGCAGACGCGTGCAGGCAATAGCGTGATGACATATGAACGGGAGTCCCCGGGGGAGGGGAGGGGCCAGGGTGGCTTGTGGGAGAGCCCCCCACAGGCAGAACCACCAGTGTCCCTGGGGAGTCCTCTGTCTAGCTTCGTCTCTGGGTAGGGAGACGGGGAGGAGAGGGGGCCCATGTGTTGTGGTCTGACATCCGCGTCTGGCAGAGGGAAACCCCGTTGTGCCTGCCGCGTAGACAACACTGGGCGACTGGCCTTCCTCTTGCCTCCCCCCCCCTTTCAGCCCCGTTAGCCACCAGAAGCCCAATTCAGAAATGTGTTCTTCAACCTCAGGGGCCTCTAACCCACACTCAACCCACGGATTTTGACTCTGGGAAGGAGCTTATAACGGAAGCACACCCTCTTCCAGAAGGTAGCAAGATGCAGCTAATGCAACATAACCGAGCATCTCAGTACCGTCCGCGTTTGATGTGAACGTCTTCACACGTGTCACAGAGGCTCCTCGGTCAGGGTGTGCTCAGCAGTGATACCTACGCGCGCACTTCAACGGCGGCAGGGACTTCACACTCTGAGCTACAGGGTAAAAAGTTCCGAATTAGGAATCCGGACTCCTGGGTTTTATTTAATCCTACCTCTGCCGCGTACCAGCTGTGTGACTTTAGCACACTGAGTAAACCCCTCTGAGCCCCACGTTCCTCAAACAGGAAGTGGGAATCATAATGCCTCCTGGTCTGAGTCAGGAGGGTGATGTGAAGCCACGGCGGGGGTGGGTAGGAGACCCTGTTCGCTGGAGCCTGTGTGGTGCCAGAGCCCACAACAGGTCCTGCAGGTTTCACCACCCTCATGGGACCCCCAAAAGAGGGGCCCCACCCCAGCAAGAAAGGATCACCCAGATGCCAAAACGGTCAGGGGCGCTGAGGTTCTAGGCCCGTTCTTTCTGATGCAAAAGCCCAGGCTGTACTTTCTGTCCAGGCCGTGCTTTAGCGCCACGCCAGCCTGATGCAGGAACATTGGTGGGGAGGAGGGGTGGGGGGTCACAGCTGGTGGAGGCGGCCCTGGCCTTGCCTGTGAGCCAGCTGCAGGGCCTCTCCCTGTCCCGGCCTCCTCCTGGGCAGGCCACTCACACCCTGTGCCCTGTCTGAAACGGGGTTAGTCATCCCCGCCCCACAGATGCTGAGTGAGATGCTGCGTGTAAACTATTTCCAGACATCACTTCTCTCCCTCGCTACCCTGAGGTCTCATTCCTTTCCTTGGGGCCATTGCCAATTTCAGTCTGGTGGCCTGTATAAAATGTCAGCTGCAGGGGTGGGGACCGCCCACAGTAACAGTTTGAGGCAGCTGTACTTGTGTTCCATGGCCGGGGACAGTGGTTGGTGGGCTGGAGGTGTGTGGGACGGGGCCAGGCTGCTTCTCCGGGTGACAGGCCTTTGCCGCACCGCAGCCATGGCGACACTGCCGCTGAGCCCTGGAGATGCTTCTCTGTTTCTAGGTACGACGAGGAGCTGGCACAGGGCGACGGGGCTGACCGAGAGCTGAGGAGTCGGCCGGGCCAGTCGCTGGGGCCCAGAGGGGGCCGATCGAGAGACTCCGGGAGGACCGTCCTCACAACCTGGAAGTGACCACCAGCGAGCAAAACTCCAGCCTGCACCCACCCTTGCTGAAGACGTATTTTGGAAACTTCCTTTTTCTAGAGCTTTTTTCCTTTCCTAAACCCTGTAAATAAATAAAGGCATTTCTTTGGAAGGTTAAGGAGCCTATTATTGGGGAAAAGTCCCTGTTTCTCCTTTACGCTCACACGACACTCTGACAACAGATGTATGGAGATTTTCCCCACACCAAGCAGTTCTGCCGCGGCACTGGGTGTCCTACCGTTTAACTCAGTTCTGATGCTGTCTGCCTGGAGTTGGAGTCAGATCCCACAGGGTAAGGCCTCAGTCCCACAAGACTGCCCCCACCGTCCCAACTTCAGACGCCAACCGCAAGCCCACGCTGTTAACTGTGCTTCTGACCAACTGGCTGTAAGTTGGAGGTTCCCACAACCCTATCCTTGGGTTCAATTAATTTGCTAGCAGGGCTCTCGGAATTCAGGAAAACAGTTTGCTTACTAGATTACTGGTTTACATAAAGGATGCAACTCGGGAAAAGCCAAATGGGAGAGATGCACAGGGCGAGGTGTGGTTGAAGGGGCACGGAGCTTCCATGTCCTATCCGGGGGCACCACCCTGGACGCTCTTAAGATTCCATAGTCCGGGGATATTTATGGAGGCCTCGTTACACAGACATGATTGATTAAGTCATTGGCCATTGGCGACTGACTCAACCTCCGGCCCCTCTCCCTTCCTCGGAGGTTGAGGTGTGGGGCTGAAAGTTCCACCCCTCCAATCACGTGGTTGGTTCCCCAGGCAGCCAGCTCACATCCAAGGCCACCCAGGAGCCCCAGCCTCCAGTCAGTAATGCAAACTCTGCCTTGCTTGAAAGGGACTTGTTAGGAACAACAAAAGATACCCATTTCACCTTTATGCTCTGTAGCAATTTCAGGAACTGGGAACAAAACTCAATATAACAAAGATGTCCCTGTAGCTCTTAGAAAGGAAATTACAAGGGTTTTAGGAGCTGTGTGCCAGGAAAGGGGATGGAGACCAAATATATATTTTTATAAATCACAATATCACAGTCTATTTCATAAGGGCTGTAAGAACTGATTCACAAATGTATGAAACGATCTCTTTCCACAGAAAGTAACAGCTTCAGCGTGTGATTTAGTTTATTATAAGGTATTCACGTCTTTAAAATTTGGCACTAAATTAAAAACAAACCCCAAACCTGAATATCTTACAAAATCATGCTGCCGTGAGAAAGCAAAATATTTAATCTGACAGCTGCTTTGGTTTCATTCCTTCTAGCTTGACTGCGATTTGGAGGAAAACAGGCGACTAGAAATATTCCTCAGCATTTATCGTTACAAAGTCCTTTGTCTTGATGCTCTCAGACAACTCACCTGGGTTTTGTAGGTGAGTCTGTCTGTCAGATGAGCCCAGGCAATTCCCAGCATGTGGCTTATATGACATCAGCATCTGGGTTTGCCACAGACGCAGAGGTAAGCGCTGTTCGCAGCCGTTGGCGGCGGGATAAGCTCTTGATGTGATGTGTTTACCCACAAGCCACCCTGGTCGCCATTGACCTACAGAAAAATATGGGGAGGCAGCCCGTGTCCCTCTGTAGAGCGACTGATGCGGCCGAATAACCCATGGGGGTGTTCCTCTTAGTAAGAACCTTTTACTGTTACATGTGACATTTTTCATTGAGCCTTCATTCACTGTCCTGAGTTTCTTTTTCAACTCCCCACCTCTTTTTGGTTAAAACGTTAGGAATAGGATTTTGTTGTTACATAATTACGCCAATGACATAGAAGATAGGGGTCTTTCCTGTACCCACATGCGAACACCTGTCGCGCTTACATGTCTCGTGTGTATACATGTGCTCACATATATTTAATGATGCTTCACGGCCATTTAGGGGAAAAGGTCCTTTTAAATGGATCTGGTACAGTACAAAGTGAACGAAATGTAATACAAATGGCATTTAGCCAGAATCCAAATAAATTGCAATTTGGAGGGATCTGTCTGCTGTGTTCATGTTAAGCCTGAAACAGTTCCAGCTTATTGATCGATGCGTTTCATGTGTTCCTTAATATTTAGGCCCTCTGTGGATGGCAGGTGTGGCTTCGAGCCTCTGAATCAGACCTGGGCCTGAGGCCTGGCTCTGCCATTTATTGGTTTGTCCCAAGGCTGACAGTGGCTCTTTGGACCTTTGCTTCCCAGTGTTTAAGAAGGGGATTACTTATATTTGCCTTAGAAATAACAAGTGCCACTGCCTGCCCCACCTTGCTCTAGTTCCAGCTCTGACGGTGTTTTCTTCCCCAGGAGGGGACAAAATCCTCGTGGCTGGCCTCCACCCTCAGCTTCTGCACACAGCTTTTCCACCCACCACTTCTTACAACTCAGGTTCTCCGTTATGTTGCTTTATTTTTGCCTCTCGGGTGTGTCTGGGAAAGGGTGAAGTCCCTGGCTGGGAATGTGACCACAGGCTGAGCTCGGAGGGCAGTTCAATCACGGAGGAAAGAAGTTAGTTTGCCAGTGACCAGGTTGCTAGGTGAGAGTGAGTGTCTGCTAAATAGATTTATGTCAAATATTGACTGTGACATTAGTGATGTCATGTTCTGGGGCAGATGTTTCCTCTGGACATTTCTAGAACATGCATGAGTAGGAAGTATGTGATGTGTGAAGAGGCCTTGGGAAATTGTTGGGCTGTAAACAGACTGTCGGGTCGCTCGGCTCAGGTCTTGGCAGTGGTGTCCCCATTTGGAATCGTCCAGGATGACAATTTTTGTTTCCTTATCAGCTCCCATTACTTTTTTCCATTTGATGGGGTAGGAGCGGGTGGTTCCTGAAGTCTGAGGGTTGTAGCATCTGGTCTTTTTCAGTGATTCTTTTTGTCTGATTTTTCCCAGAGTAAACTCATCATTTGCCTGCTTCCTGAATGAGCTGCTCCCTCAGTATTCTTAGACAGATGCTCAAGCCCAGAATGAAGGAATCTTCCTACATGTTCCCCCTCTCACAGCCCGGCAGTCCCCAAACCTGGTGACAGGCTCCTCAGTGGGCCTCCCACCTGGATCACTGGGTCTCGGCCCGCAGCCCCACCCCATGCAACTGGGTTCCACCCGCTGGCCCAGAGGATTTTTCTGACCTGTAGCCATTTCTCCCAGCACACAGTGGTTCTTCAGCACCATCCACAGAGCCTCCTGTGCTTGGGGGGACCTGGAGGCCCTCCATACACGGTGTCCACCAGCCCCAAACTCACCTGATTTTCTAACCCCAGGAGACTGGCAGTTTCCACCATCCCTCTAGGTCCACTTTCCAGCTCTGCTGTCTCTCCAGCCAGCCCTGGAGGAGCTCTCCTGGTCTCCCCAGCGTCAGGCCATCAGCCTCCTGTGGCCCAGGGAAGCAGGTGAGTGTCTGCTGCAGGGACCCCGGCCAGCCGGCCTCTCGCCCGACGCCTGGCACTGCCCAGGGACCAGTGCCCACAAGGTGCTCATTAACAGGAGCTGTGCCCAAGTGGGGTGCCCTGGGACAGTTCAGGACACCTGTGAGGCAACAGGGGCACCGTCAGATTTTGTTTCCTGTTTCTCATTCAAGCATGTCTCTTCTGATTTGTCCCAGCCTGAACCATACTGTGTCTCATACGCTCCTCTCCCACGCCGCACGCCACGTGGCTCGCGGGATCTTGGTTCCCCAGCCAGGGGTCGAACCCAAGCCCTCGGCAGTGAAAGAGCAGAGTCCTAACCACTGGACCGCCAGGGGATTTCCTCATATGCTTTTTTTTTTTTTTTTTTTTTTTTTTTTGGGGC